GTAAATTGTATAAATGGTCATTGAACTTTTCAAGCACTTGCATTTAGGTCCCCCAACTTTTAAAACTTGCAACACAATCATCAATTACATTCTAAACCCTAAATTCCAAAATACTTCAATTACATTCTAAACCTCAAAATCCAAAATGCTTCAATTACATTCTAAACCTCAAATTCCAAAAATACTTCAATTACATTCCCAACCCCAAATTCATAATCCATTCTCAAAATCTACCATAACAAATTGAACTTGAAGGAACAACCCTAAACCCCAAAATATAACCCTAAATGCTAAATTTCCCCACCAATTAACCCAACATAATCAACAACATTTAGTTCATTTTGGGTCCATAACAATAAGTGATTATGTTGGGTTTAGGATTTAAAAGTTAGATTTAACCAACTATAAGTGAACAATACTCAATTCGATTCGAAAAAATTGTTTTTCGACTTGAATTGATTCAAAAAATTTGATACAAATTGACTTTGAGTTGTAATTTCATAAACTCAACTTAAAAAAAATTCAAGTTAAAATCGAGTTGTAAATTACAACTCGAATATCTCAAATTTTTTAGTAATTAGTGGATTAATTTTTAAGTTTGAGTCAAGTCCCTTGACTCTGTATGATATATGTATATCACATATGGAAAAAATATGAAGAAATATATGTAATGTACATGGTTAAAAAACTATTTAAATGAGAATCAAATAATATTATAGTATTATAAATATTTATAATTAAATTTAAACAGAAACTCGAAAATTCAATTAAATTCGACTTGATTTAAATTTTACAAACTCAAATCGAAAAAATTTTGAGTCAACTATTTTATAAACTAAACTGAATCAGAATCAAATAATATTATAATATGATAAATATTTATAATTAAATTTAAACAGAAACTCAAAAATTCAATTCGACTTGATTTAAATTTTATAAACTCAAATCGAAAAATTTTGAGTCAACTATTTTATAAACTGAATTGAGTATTTAGGTACAACATAACCCTAAACCCAACATAATCACTTATTGATCACTTATAGTTGGTTAACTTTTTTTTGAAATAGTTATGTTTTGAGGGTTTAGAATTACTGCATCAAGTTCAATTTGATATGACAGATTTTGAAAATGGATTATGAATTTGGGGTTGGGTATGTAATTGAAGTATTTTAGAATTTGAGGTTTATAATGTAATTAAAGTATTTTGGATTTTGGGGTTTAGAATGTAATTAATGACTGTGTTGCAAGTTTTAAAAGTTGGGGGACCTAAATGCAAGTGCCTAAAAATTTCAGTGACTATTTAGATAATTTACCCTAACGGTGTGAAATGACCGTTACGTCAAGGACCATAATACAAACGAATTAAATATTTGATGGCTGTATTATAAATTTTAAAAATTGAGGAATCTAAATATAAATATCTAAAAAGTTCAGTGATCATTTAAATACTCTACGCTAAAATAAAATAGGGAATCATAACAGCTTAAACATATTGAAGAGTCAAAGAGAAATGTCATTTCCTGTAGGAACAACGAGATCACGTATCTTGATCTGCCAACACATCCAAGTTAATGACAAAACTACTTATCTTACAAAAGATATCCCTATCTCCAAAAATTTTCAGCTTCTTATACAATAGAAATAGTTTCTTACAGGCGTTGGATATATATACAAACGTAGAATTTTATGGTAAGAGAAATTATTAAAATTTTAAGAGAAATATAAATTATCAATAAAATATATAAAAAAATTTAAAATATATAATAAATTAAAATTTTAGAAAATCGTTGGACATCTTTAATGCACCTGTAAAGTTATAGTCAAAACTATAGTTTTGATCCTTGTACTATACACAAATTTGGGAGTTAGACCCTTTACTTTAATTTAACAAAAATATGATCCTTTATTTTTATAATGTCATTAATTAGTTCGGATAATTGATCCTATTAACGTTTTAAAATTCAAATCAGTATTTTAACTTGAATAGTTAATGGTGTTAACTCTTTGGACAAACTAATGAAAATTTGCTTAATTTCTACTTCACAAGTTAAAAAATCGTAATTATTTAAATTAAATTATATTTTTATTTAATTTATGAATAGTTTTTAATTATTTTAAAATATAAAATAAATATTTCATATTTAAATTACTTTACAATAATTAAAATTCTATGTAAAAGTTATTTTTTTTAAATTTTGAAACATGTAAAGTGAACTGATGAAAGTTGGTAAGATTATGTTTGATGGTTTTTTTAGATTAAGCATAAAAAAAGGGACCAAAATGGGAGTTTAACCAGTGATATTAGAGAGTCGTGAAAGAATTGAATGAGTTTTAAAAGAACAGGATGAGAATTCGATGGCTACCTTTATATTGTCGTATTGCAGTACGTGGCTACAATATATATTGGAGATATCAGCTTGATTCTGATTGAACACCAACGCCTGCACATTTTCGAGGAATCCCCGACACGAACTAATCAAGTGATACTAATAATAAAAGATAATGTTAATTTGTTTTATAGATATTAATTTCAAATTCATCAAGTTCGTTTCACATATATCACCTAAAATTTAAAATATAAACTTATTAAATAAAATTTACCTATTTATCTAAAAAAATTAAAAATGACTGTATCTTTTTTTTTTCAAACGATATATCTAAATTAGAAAATATAGATGAAGTAATCCATAAAACCGGTACGAGAGGATCCAAACAAAAAACTGTCGGGTCGGGTGTTACATTATAAGTGGATGCGTACATGACCGAATTTAATCTGTCGGGTCGTGTGTTACATTATAAGTGGATGCGTACATGACCGAATCTAATGTTGTTTTGTCATTTCCAAAAGTCCCATATGACTTATGGCCGCACACGAACTTGATTAATTTATATTTCAATTTGAAAAAGAAACCCAACATCTGATTTTTTAAAATATTTTAAGATAATTACATAGTAATATCTCATAAGATATTAAATTAAAGTACTTTATTTATTTTTTAATTTTGAAATTAGATAATTTAAATTTAAATTTTAGTTTTTTCATTTTTTTCTAAATTTAATTATTTATAGATCTCTATAAATTTTAAAAGTAAATTACTTGGGTCATTATCCATCACTCTTCAATTTAAATATTTTAAAGTTTCTATTAACTTTAAAATTAAACAAATCACACTATAATCTTCAAATTTTAAAAATCTAGATTTATGATTTATTAATTAAATTCTAATTATTATTTTATTATTATTATTTATATTTATCCTTCAATAATAAAAAAAAATTATTGTTCTTTGTAAAAAAAATTAAATTTCAAATAATTACGTTTATAATATATATATATATATATATATCAATAATTAAATTATTTTTAAAAATAATATATTATAATAATCTCATATTTGGTGAAGCAATTACGCCTAACGGTGAAGCAAGGTGCCGGTAAGAGACCAATGATTGGTACGACGGTGGAGTATGATAGTGAAAGAAATAACGATTAGAACGAGTTACACGGGGATCAATTTGGTGAAATTTTAAAATATTCAAGATTAAATTAAAATTAAAAATTAAATATGCTATTATGTGAATTATATTAATCATCACAATTAATTTGTTTTTATGAAAACTATCAATTTATTATTATTTAAATCGAGAGATTATTTTATAACTTTTCAATAAGAAAAACAAAAACATCTTATAAGCGAATGACTATTACATATATCTTATCATGAAAATAATACTATGTATTGAAGTCTCGAATTAAAATAATATATATTTAAAACAATTTAAAAGGTAAAGTATATAAATGATTTTTCTACTATAAAATGTTGCTTTGTTTAGTCATCCGACTATTAAAAGTTATAAAATGGTTATCCGACTCTAGGATGTTGCTTTATTGAGTCTTACAACTATTAAAAGTTACAAATGGTCACCAAACTATTCATATGTTCCAACTCGTCATTTTTAATTTGAAGGTCGTCTGAACTAAACGTTAACATGTTGATTGAGATATGATAAAATCATATTTTAATGATGTCTAGTGGTTAAGTCGTTACTTTCAAGCATTAGCTCAACGCCATAATATAAATGGAGACTCGATCCACAAAATACAACTCAAAAGGATATGAGATCAAATTTTATCATATTATAGTCACCAAGTTAACGTCCTACTCAAACGACCATCAAAATTTTAACAAAACAAGATAAATTTGAAATATATAAATAGTCAGGTGACCATTTATAATTTTAATAAGCGAGAGATTCAATAAAACAATACTTTATAGTTGGGAGATTATTTTGTAGCTTTTAATAGTACCTACAGTCTATTGACCGTTTGTGTACTTTATCCTAATTGAAATTCAAAATAATCTTTTTTATTAATCTAAGATGATTATAAGTAGTATATGTTTTAAATATTTTCAATCATTTGACAATGAAAGTTCAAACACTTTACAATCTCTGGTACTCGAAACTGAAACCACTGGAAATATTTATCATCTCTTTAATCACTGAAATAAATTAGTCGAAGATAAATTCAAAATAATCTAAATCTTTATTTATCTCGAATATGAAATTATTCGAATTATGAATCTAACGGAGAAAAGAGAAATGGAACTCTTCGTGTTATTAAAATAAAGAATCGTTATTTTTTCCTCAATTAATTGATTCGAAAGAGAGAGAGTTGTAATTTATTCTGATGAATTTGATTTAAATTAATTTATTCTAAAATAATATAATGTATCGAATCAGAGTAATCAAAATCTAATTCCTCGAAATTTACTTCTCACTAATGAGATCCGAATTAAATCATTCTAAAATCAATCTGATCTGATGAATCGACAGGTATACTGCGACAAATCCACGCCGTGCTCCACAACTGCAATGAAACACTCTTCTCTTCAAAGAAAAAAAAATCAAAATTTTATTTTGTTTTATTTATAAAACATAACTCTATTTATTGAACGTAGCAAAACCTTGCCTCATTCATCTTCTTTCTTCTTCAAAACCTCTCTCTGGCTGAAAAAAGAAGAAGGAAAAACTGAAAGCTTTTAATTGATCGACTCGACTCAGATTCGACTCCATGGACCCTTCACGTGCTTTTGTGACAAATGTCAAGCGTCTCATTGTTAAGGTTCATTTTTTTTAATGAGGTCACAATTTGATGTTTTTAGTTATGAAAAAAGCTAATTTTATTTCATGGGGTTTTCATTAAAAAAAAAAGGTGGGAACAGCAGTGGTGACTCGAGGTGATGGGAGATTAGCAGTGGGGAGACTGGGAGCTTTATGTGAACAGGTAAATACATAAAGATGACAAGGGCATAACGGGAAATATGAGATTTTTTATGTCTCATTGTTAACATTCTTGAATTTGATTTGGTTGCTTGCAGCTCAAGGAACTCAATTCTCAGGGGTATGAGATTGTGTTGGTTACTTCAGGTGCTGTTGGTCTTGGTCGTCAAAGGCTTAGATATAGGAAATTGGTAAACAGCAGGTGAGATTATCAATCATTTAAAAAAAATAGAAATTCATTAGATATAATCACTTTCTTATATATCCTTTTTTGGTGCAACCATAAACAGAGGGATTTAATGGCTCTTTTTTATTTGTGTAGCTTGGCTGATCTTGAAAATGCAGAATTTGAACTTGATGGGAAGGCTTGTGCAGCTGTTGGACAGAGTAGTTTGATGGCTCTTTATGACACCTTGTTTAGCCAGGTTAATACTCTTGCTTATTAGTTCATTACCCGTTTCCATGGTTGCGAAAAACCAGACGGATCGGCCTGTTTAATCGTCGAAACTGAAATACTAATTGATTCCATGCTTGTTGTTTCACTTGCATTAACATGATACTCCAAATCTTTGCAGCTTGATGTCACTTCTTCACAATATCTTGTAACGGACAGTGAATTTAGAGCCAATAGTTTCAGAAAACAACTCTCTGAGACGGTGAAATCCTTACTATCTTTGAAAGTGATCCCCATTTTCAACGAGAACGATGCCGTCAGCACTCGAAGAGCACCTTACGAGGTATCTCAATTCTCTTCTGCTCTTCATTCTCTTTAATCAATTGATTGATTGGTAGTGTTGTTTTCAGGATTCTTCTGGTATATTCTGGGACAACGACAGCCTCGCCGGCCTCTTAGCTTTGGAACTAAAAGCTGATCTCCTTGTCATGTTGAGTGATGTTGAGGGCCTCTACAGCGGTCCGCCAAGTGACCCGAACTCAAAACTGATCCATACGTATATAAAAGAAAAACATCAACGTGAAATAACGTTTGGAGACAAGTCCAGGCTAGGTAGAGGGGGTATGACTGCAAAGGTTAATGCAGCCGTCTGTGCGGCTTCTGCCGGTATCCCAGTCGTTATTACAAGGTATGGTCTGGAACTGAACTCTTCAAAGACCTATTAACAAATTGGGTTTCTCACCGTAAATTTGGCTTTTACTTCGTTTTAAAGTGGCTATGCCACTGGTAACATTATAAAGGTACTTCAAGGGAAGCATGTTGGTACCCTATTTCATCGAGATGCACATTTATGGACTTTGGTTAAAGAAGTCGGTGCACGCGAGATGGCGGTTGCGGCGCAGCAATGTTCTAGACGTCTTCAGGTGGGAACACACAGTTTCTCCCTTTTGTCACCATAAAGATGTCCGCATGTATTTCTGAATGATCTTTTTTCACAGGCAATAGACTCTGAAGATAGGATGAAGATTTTGCACAACATTGCTGATGCCCTCGAGGCCAATGAGAGTTTGATTAAGGATGAAAATGAAGCTGACGTCGCTGCTGCCGAGGACGATGGATATGAGAAGTCACTGATGTCTCGTTTGTCGTTGAAACCCGGAAAGGCAAGACGTTTTAATTCTTGGGTTCCATTAAGTCATTAGCACAAGCACATTGCTGGAGTTTCATCCAAGTTATTCCAATTCTACAGATAACTGGTCTTGCGAAATCGATTCGAGTACTTGCTGACATGGAAGATCCTATTGGTCATGTTTTGAAGAGAACAGAGGTTACAAAGCATCCCCCAAAATGTTCCGAGGAGTGTGTGGATTTTTGTTCCTTGGTTATGGAATTTAACCCTTACTTTTGAATGCCTCTGTCCCAGCTTGCAGATGGACTCATCTTGGAGAAAACATCCTGTCCTCTTGGTGTACTGCTGGTTGTATTCGAGTCTCGACCAGACGCCCTTGTTCAGGTACCCAAAAACGACTTTTAGACTCATCAACCTGGTATTGTTTAAGCATATAAGGTATTGGTGGGATTGCAATGGTGTATTTCTTAATACGTTCCCCACGTTATTGTTTCCCTTAATGATTGAACAGATAGCTTCCCTAGCCATACGAAGTGGGAACGGCCTTCTACTGAAAGGGGGGAAAGAAGCAAAGAGGTCTAATGCAATCTTGCACAAGGTTCGGTTTTTGTTGGAGAGTTTTTGTTGCCATTATTCCTATTACTTATGTGTTTCTTCACCACTGTTTCTCCAATAATAAATATCGTTAAGGTCATTACTTCGGCCATCCCCAAAAACATCGGAGAAAAACTCATTGGACTCGTGACTTCAAGAGAGGATATTTCTGATTTACTTAAGGTGATTTGTAGGATCTACAGTTGACGAAAGCTCTTTGTTATTTCATATATATATATATATATATATTTGTATAAGGTTTCTGTTTTTGTCACAGCTTGATGATGTGATAGATCTCGTGATCCCCAGAGGCAGCAATAAACTTGTTACCCAGATCAAGAATTCGACTAAAATCCCTGTTCTTGGTCATGCCGGTAAGAAAACACACTTACATATATGTATATGTAACCTCTTTGATCCTCCATTAACTGGAGTTCAACTGATATTTTCACTTTTCTCTGCAGATGGAATTTGCCATGTTTACATTGACAAATCAGCTAAGGTCGATATGGCTAGACAGATTGTTCTCGATGCAAAGACAGATTATCCTGCGGCTTGCAATGCCATGGTAATTTCTTTTTGTTTAGACTTGTCAATTGGACGGATTCGGTTTTGAATTGTTTCAATTTGAATCGGATCTTTGAGTTCAATTTGTTTTAGGTTTGAAGCTCATCATTAGGGTTTGATATTTGGGTTCAAGTTGTTTTAGGTTTCAGTGCAGACCAGAAATGACATGCCTAATTCATTTTACTGTTCCAGTTCCCATGAGGATATTAAGTGGATATTTGTAGCATATGATTTATCCATGTTGTTTTCAGGAAACACTTTTAGTACACAAGGATTTTTCGAGTAATGGTTTGCTCAATGATGTTATTGGGGACCTCAAACATAAAGGTAAGGATTATGTGAATTTCTTTCTAATCACAGTCCAAGTAAAATTCACTTACAGTTTCTGAAAACCCGAATTCAAATGCTGAAATTTGTAATCATCTGAAGATTATGGGATTGTTTCCTGCAGGAGTTACTCTTTACGGTGGACCGAGAGCGAGTTCATTGTTAAACATACTGGAGACGCGTTCCTTCCATCACGAGTACAACTCTATGGCTTGTACAATAGAAATCGTGGATGATGTGCATGCCGCTATTGATCATATACATCAACATGGAAGGCATGCCGCATATTCATCGCCTTTTTTGTTCCAGTGAGTCGTTTGGTTGCCTTTGATATTAACTAACTTGTTTCTCTGCAGTTCTCACACCGATTGCATTATCACTGAAAATCATGAAGTTGCTGAAATTTTCTTGCATGGGGTCGACAGGTTCGAGTTTTCTCTCTTGTTTTCGGGTTAATGTTTGTTAGGGTTGTCTACTTTAACAGAGACTCTGTCATTGTTACAGTGCTGCAGTTTTCCATAATGCAAGCACTAGATTTTGTGATGGAGCACGATTCGGGTTGGGTGCCGAGGTATTCGATATTTTAACCAAAATCAAACAAAAGAACCTAATTAACTACATCGTGTTGTTTAATTCGGTTAACTCGATTTTAACTGCGTTTTGAACGCTCGGTAGTACTGTTTTCTAATGGATGCATGGATTTAACAGGTTGGAATAAGTACTAGCAAAATCCATGCCCGAGGTCCGGTTGGAGTCGAAGGATTGCTAACAACACGTTGGTATGCAAAGTCTCGAATTAATCTTCCTTAAAATGTTCAGTAATCTCTGGATTTTACTGCATCATGCTCTTCATTTTTCATTTGCATGCATTGTCTTTTCCCCTGCATTTGAATCTCTTATGCACTTGTGATATTGATTTCTACATTCTAAAAAAAATTGTAGGATTTTGCGAGGAAGTGGGCAGGTAGTGAATGGTGACAAAGGGGTTGATTACAGTCACAAGGATCTTCCCCTTTAAACTCAATTGTAGGTTATTTTAGGAATACGCCTTTTTTACTTTTTACCCTTTTCATACTTGCCGTTAATTTCTTCCTTGTAATATGTTACTGCTGCAACTACTTAGATAACTTGCGTGTCATGTAATACTCTCTATCCGGCCTAGGCGTATATCAAACAGGGAATGTTACATCCAAATAACAGAACAAAAATGAATCAATTTAGAATCCAATTATAACTTAGTTTGTAAAGGAATAAGTAAACTAAGTTATAAATCATACTAAATATACGTGGGCACATAATAATTTTCGTCACACTAAGTCCTAATTATAAATTAACTTACTCTCATATCGATATTTGGCTATTTGGCATAGGTATCAATACCCTTTGGCTAGTATTGTTACTATATCAAGGTGTCGATACCATTTTAAGATTCACAGTTTGATAAGTTACAAATTTAATCAAAGGTATTAATACTTAAGATTTGATATCAATACTTGTTGAATAAGAATTAATACTTACATCATATATATATATATATATATATACTAGATTGAGTTTTAAAATTTCATAAAATTTTATTTTATAATCATACATTGTCGCATCAAAAGTGTAGAAAAAAATATAACGTTTTATATTCGGTTTAGACGAAAATCTAAATGAAGATGTTATCAGAAAACATAAATCAAAATTAATCATTAGACACACACAATTTTATAATCATACATTGTCACATACTTATCATATTAAAGCATTTATAACTAAAACAACACCAATCATGCTAATATCACACATAGTAACTAAAATGTACTTTCAAATAAAGATTATGAACATATATTACTTTGTAATCATTCCATACTATTAAAAAAATATAGTATGCACTTCAAGGTTTGTTTTAGATTAATAGTGGAATATACAATTATGTTGAGTTAATTATTATTTTCATAATTAAATTACGTTGTTTATTGTTATGAGGTAAATATTCATTATTGATCATATTATCATAATTAGATTAATCAAGATCGATTAATATATGTAAATTTATGTTAAATGCTTGTTTAAAAGATAAAATGGATCGTACGAATCAAGTGATATCAATGATTAAGAAATTATTGTTATTTTTTTTGATCACCAAAAAAAAACATCTATACCAAGTGCTAACTTCACTAGGCTTACATGCTAATTGTTGTGCTAACTTTATCGGTCTTACTCTACTATTGCCGATCAAATTGGACCCAACTAATTTTGAAAGCTCTTCTTTCGCTCTTCTGAGGCAACATATCATATAAGTGAAGGATAAACTATACACCATTCATTACTCTGAATTTTATTCTTCTTTTACACTGCTTTATTTATTTAATATCTTCATGTCATGCCGATTCTTGACCATTTTTTCTATTTTTTAATTAATTTGAAGAAAGTATAAAATAATATACTTTTAAAGATAACTCTTCACCATTTGACATTAAACGCTTACACCCCTAACATTCATGATACTCAAACGTAAAACCACAAAGAATAATAACAATTCATATATCACCGATGTCTTACAAATAGTTTGAAAGACTTATAATAAAGCTCATAATTTTTTGTGATGGTCCGCATGTCCATTACATCTCATCCAAAGATCTTAAAAATGATTCAAAGGTCCTAGACATATTATTTAAATTCTATTTAATGAATAATCATTTAATATATTTTTAATAGGAGTATTTAATTTCAAAAATAGTATTATCGGATAAATATTATTTTAATCTTTTTTTTAATATTTAGAGTGATTATAATATAATATTTTTATATTCTTAATCATTAACAAAACACATACTTTGTGGTTCAAGCTTAATATCTCAAATAAAAATAATATTTCCTTTAACCATATAAATATAAATTCAATAATCACATTCCTCTTAAGTTTTATAAATCTGTGATAAACTCTAGCGCAATTGGGGGAAAAAACATTTTCAACTGCAGCCTTCGGTTCTTATTTGACAAATAATAAAACAACATATAAATAATAACAACAATAACAATTTTAAAAAATGAAACAATAACCACCCACCAACTCCGAAAACCACCCCCACTTTCATAACTATTTTCAACAGGAAAAAATAACACCCAGACATAATTATCCTTAATTACTGCATTTAATTTCACAATTAACATAATACAAAGCCCTCTTTCTTTTTCTTTTCTTTTTGCTGTAAAAGACATTGATCAAACATCACAATTATATTACATTTCTTAACACTAAGGATAACAAGAACAACAAGCACATAAGGATCGATCCCTTGAATTTTTTTATCCACAATTTCACACTAAAAATAACATACAAATTAAGCGTATGGTATTTTCCCCTTCGGTTTTTCTTTTCACACGCTTATTAATTACTTCAGAAAAAAGAAAAAAAATACACCAAAATATGAAATGAAGAAATTACCACCACACTATGACTTAATGTACCACACCTTCAGCTTCCTTCATACACGTCAATGCATTCAACGTAAACCTTTAGCTTCGACGTCGGCAACGATGCCGGCGGCAATTATGATGGTCGTGTAACGGCACAGCGAGATGTCAAACGGTGAGAGAGGGGTGAAGGGGAAGCGACAGGCGAGTAGGTTGAAAAATTATCGGATGTGTGATGGAAGCGACCGGAATCTCCGGTCGGGAGTCTGAAGTAAGAGGGTGAAGCTGAGTCATTGAACCATGTTGCTAAAACGTGGCCTTGTCTTCCATTCTTGTATTGAACTATTGCTTTGTAAACAAAAGGAATAAGCCCCTCCATTTTCTTTCCAACAGACACAGTTTTGGTTTGGTCTGAAATTTTTGTCTGATTGAATTTGAAGCAAGAAATCAAGGGGGGGGGGAATTGGTTATTTTAATAGGGAACGGAAGCTGGTGACGTGGCGTAATGGGTCAAATTCTCAGCTTTGTAAGCTATACCCAAACTATATTAATATGTGTTGTTGGAAGATGGGTTTAGAGTAAGGTAGTCGATTAAAATAAGTTGGCGGCACATCATTTGGTTTCTTGTTCAATGCCATATGTTTGGGTTATTTTAAATGTGCTAATTAAAATGTGATTGTCCTCCAAAATCTTTCATTCCATAATTTAGTTATTCATCCTCAATATGTTTTAAATATATGTCCAGCTGTTCTTTATAGTTTCTATTTTCCACTATTTTATTATAATTTAAATATTTTATATATTTATCAATAATTTAATTTCGTATTTCTAAAATTAAAATCATATTTTTATCTTTTTGACCCACCACTTATTCAAGGGTTTTGTAGTAACCAAGTAGGTAGATTCATGTTCCAAGGCTTTATCCAAATATTGACCACATACATTCCAACAGAATGTATATATATATATATATAGTCACCGTGACAACTAAAATCAAACTATTTTACGACATTAATAATTAAAAGAATAATTGTTAACCAACAACCAATTAGTCTAGTGGGATGATACATTCGGTCCCTTAAGCAAGATCAAGGTTCGAATCCTGGCGTTTGCGAATGGAGCAAACTGAGTTGAGAGGGTCACTCTTGCCTTTATAGTACTCGATCTGGATTAGTCGGTCAAATGATCGAATACCGGTGATTAATTCAAAAAAAAAGAAATAATTGTTATCTTTAGAGATTTTAGGTTTAAGCATATTGTTTGTAGGAGTATTTGAACGTTCATTGTTAATTGATTAAAAATCTTTCAAACAAATATTATCTTATAATTATCATAGACTAATAAAAAATAGATTTATAAAAAATGAGAATTCTATGGTTAGAAAAATTATATTTCAATTAAATGTTAAGAGCTTGAATTATAATTATTATATTTCAATTAAAGGTTAAAGCTGTATTTCATTATCATCTGGTTAAATAATAATTTAAAACAAGGTCGAGTCGGCAATCAATACTTTGGGTTGGCACATAGAATATGTATGACCAATTCTCAAACAAAATTTCCTTAGACCGATACATGCTGTGCAATCATATAATATATATTAATTAAACTGATATTGGGGTTGACCGTCCTTCACATTAATTCTATGCATTCATCGTATCCTATTGTTTATTTTAAAAAAAATTGTTAGCGTTTTAATTAAAATTAAAATAACATAAATATTAGATTATGGTCAGATTTAAAATAATTTAAATTTAAAACTGTGAGATCTAAAATCATTCTGACTAGTTCAACTAATATATCCATTCTATATTAAACTTATCGAAATTAACAAACAAAACCGACCTGAAATATCACTGTTAATTTTTTTTTCTTTGCTTTATTAAAATTTTGTTTCCATCCCATATGAAGTCATTGTTTGCATCATCAGGCGATTGGAAATTAATAAAGTCGTTTTCTTAATCTAATAAAATAAACTTTTATATGATCTTAAGCTTCGTCAGAGTAGACACGTATCATCCTGAAATTTTAATTTTTTGTATTAATTATTCATCTTATTGATAATATTTATTTTGAAATTTTATTTATGTTTGTATAATATAAAATATTTTTTATCTTTATTATTATTCTTATTATTATTATTATTATATATACTTAAAAATATTTTTAATTCGTCCGATTTTCTATACTCCTAAACTGAAGCCAAAAACTGCGTCCGCCGGTCTACTTTGTACAAGATTAGGTGATGATAAAGCAAAGCGTGTCACACCCACATTCTTTGCTTTTTCGTATTATTTCCTCTTTTCAATTTATATAGATTGCAATGATAAATTAATTAAGGATAAATTATTTATTTATTCAGCTATTTGTTTTAGTACTTTTATTTTAATCATTAAATTATTTTTTTAAATCATATCTAATATTCCGTTTTTATTTTGATTATTAAGAGTACCTCTCAAGACGATTGTTATGATATAAACCTAGCTACTGAGTATAGTAAAAATAGAAGAGAAAGTAAAAGAATACTTTACATCTTATTAATGGAATTACTTGTATACAAGAATGAAAGCTAACAACTTATTTATAATAGCTGATTAACAAACTGCAAACTTCTCTTAACTAACTAATAACAACCTTTAACCAACTCATAACAATTTAGTTGAAACCAACTCCATACTAACATTCTTGTTGTTGTTCATATACACTAACATTCTTCATGTTGTTCATATACACTAACATTCCCCATGCAGTCCATATCTTCAGCTTCACCATCATTCTCATCTTGAGTAAAGCTAGTCAGCAAAGCACATC